AGGCGTCGGTCCGCGTGCCGCCTGTAGCAGCCGTTTTCCCCTGCAGGGGGGGGATCCCTTCCCCGCCGCAAATGCGGACCCCGCCGGGTCCGTCACACACCTTCCCCCCTTGGAGAGGCGAGGCCTGGGTGGTGGGTGTTCCCCTATCCGGGAGAAAAAGTCTGCGTTTTGGTGAGTCGCCCCTGGCCGATGCACCACCTCAAAACAGTACGGCTGCAGGGCCAGGTACCACCGCATTATACGCGCGTTTGTCTCTTTCATAGAGTTCAACCAAACTAAGGGTGCGTGATCAGTCACCAATTTAAATTTATTCCCCCACAAATAATACCGTAAAGTGTCAATCACCCACTTCACCACAAGTGCTTCCTTCTCTATCATGGCGTAGGTCCGCTTGCGTGGCAGCAATTTTCGGCTGAGGTATAGGACCGGCTGGTCTCAGCCTTGTTCTTCTTGAGCTAGTACTGCCCCGAGTCCCACCTCCGAGGCATCTGTATAAAGGATAAACCGTTTATCAAAGTTCGGCTGTCTCAGCACCGGGGCTGAGGCCAGTTTCTCGTTTAATCCCTGAAAGGCGTGTTCGGCCTGAGGGTTCCATCTCACCCTGGCCGGCTCTGTATTCCTTACTAGCTCCGTCAGTGGGGTTGCCAGGGAGGCGAATTGAGGCACGAATCACCTATAATACCCGGCCAGCCCCAGGAACTGGCGGATCTGCTTTTTCGTTGTTGGGGTTGGGTAGTCTTTCAGGGCTTGTACCTTGCTATAAATTGGTTTCAACTTCCCCTGCCCCACTGTATACCCCAAGTAGGAAACCTCCCGTTGTGCGAAATGGCCTTTACGGGGGTTGGCCGTGAGGCCCGCCTTACCCAGGGCTGTCAGCAAGGCGTCGACGTGCCTTAGATGGTCCTCCCATGCCCGGCTGTAGATGACAATGTCGTCTATATAGGCTGCAGCGTATTCTTGGTGGGGTGCCAGTACTCAGTCCATCACCCACTGGAAGGTCGCTGCCGCCCCGTGGAGTCCGAAGAGCATGGTCCGAAACTGGAACAGTCCGAAGGGGGTCGAGAAGGCTGTCTTTTCCCGGGCTGCAGGGTCAAGGGGTATCTGCCAATAGCCCTTTGACAAATCTAAAGTGGTTATATAGGCCGCCTGCCCGAGTCGCTCCAGCAACTCGTCCACCCTCGGCATCGGGTAAGCATCGAACTGGGACACGGAGTTCACCTTCCTAAAGTCTATACAGAATCGGGTCGTGCCATCCATTTTGGGGACCAGGACGATCGGGCTACGCCATTCGCTGGCCGATTCTTCTATCACCCCCCCACTGTTGCATCAGCTGTAGCTCTCGCTTGACCGTGTCCCACATCTTCCGTGGGAGGGGGCGTAGGGGCTCCCGCACGCTCCGGCCTACCTCTGTGATGATTCGGTGCAGTCCTAGAGTCGTACAGCCCGGTCTGGTCGTAAGGGTCTCTTGGTGTCTCCGGAGGATTCCTTTCAGCTGTTCCTGTTGTGAGGGGGTCAGCTCCAGGTTCCAGGAGAGCTCTAGTTGTTCCCCTTCTCCCCCCCCCCATGGTCCCAGATCCTCTCCTTTGGAGGGGGGCGCTATTAGTAGGGACTCTCGGGGTACCCATTTCTTTAGCAGGTTGGTGTGGAAGAGCTGCGTTCCTTGCCTGCGACCTGATAGCCTCACTTCGTAATCAACCTTGCCCACCCTTTTAATTACCTCGAAGGGCCCCTGCCACTGCGCTAGCAGTTTGGATTCTGTTGTGGGGAGGAGCAGCATGACCCGGTGCCCCGGGTGGAAGATCCGTTGGCGCGCATGGGTGTCATAATACCTTGCTTGGCGCCTCTGGCCCTCCTCGAGGTTTAACCGGGCGTACTCGCCCAGCTGGCTTAACTTCTCCTGCAGTTGGGTGATGTACTGGACCGTCCCCCTGCCTGTCACCGACGGTTGCTCCCAGCCCTCCCTCAGGAGGTCTAGGATCCCTCGGGGCCGCCGGCAGTATAGTAGCTCGAACGGGGAGAAACCTGTAGATGACTGAGGAACTTCTCGCACCGCAAATAGGAGACCAGGGAGCATCAGGTCCCACCCCCGGGGGTCTCTTGGTGGGACCTCTTAAAATCAGGAATAAGGGATCTTCTGGAAAAGGCTTTATTTTCCGAAAGATCCCGTCTAGACTGGCGCTTTTCTCCGGCAAAGCCCCAATCTGGAAAAAAGCGGCAGCCATGCTCATGCAAATGCCGTGGGGGATATTTAAATCCCCCGCGGCATTTGCAATTCCGACTGGTCTCATTAGCATCCCTTTTCCGGAAAGGGGTGCCAATGTAGACACAGCCTATCTGTTTTCCTTGCCATTATTTTTGTATATGTCCTTAAGAGGCCAGCACTAGAATGGTGGGTAGGCACGTCATTGACGGACGTTTAATAAAGTCATCCTAGGCAGCTTCAGACCCTGAACCAGATTCCGATTTCAGGGCACTGGTTCAAATTCAGTGCAATTCCATGTGGAGTTCAGGGTTTAATGTGAGTAGGGTTAGTGACCATAGTCTGGGCTAGTGATGGGCAACCTGTGGCCCAAGGGCTGCCTGCAGCCCAGTAGGGTTCTATAGGGGCCCATGAGACATTTTGTTTCCCATACACAGGGTTGCCAGATTCTGTTGATTTCCATCCGTCTGGTTTTTTCCTACCAATATTGCTAAAGTGACACACCTGAAAAGCAAGGACCCGTGAAGTGAGGTGCCTGCTGACTGCACACAGCACTGACTGTGAGAGCCGCGCGCTCCCTCTGCGTCCAGTCAAAGCGCTGCTGCGGTTCAGTCGCCATACCCCACACGTTCTAGGCACGCAAGTGCAGTGAGCAAAACTAGCCTGTCTTGGTGAGAACAATCTTGCAGCCCACTGAGATGAAGGAGGCCACTCCTGTGGCCCACTCACTAGCCTGGGTTGCCCTTCACTGGTCTGGGAAATTCATAGAAAGTGGGACTGCCTCTCCTACCATGTTTGCAGGTAATTTATTATCTCTTTGACTTTGGGTCTGTCCTGACTTTGACTGTATGTGACAGTAACTCTGACCTGAAGCTATGATTCTGCAGTGAAGCAGCAAAACAACCACAAAATCTGACTGAATGCATTTCAGTTTTATAAGCCGTGGAGATGGGGAGTCTCCCATTCATTTCATGTTGTATTTCATGCTCTTAACAGTCCCCTTTATACCTGAAAATATAAATTTACTGCTTTTTGGTTTCTACAACCATATTCAAGTGATAGTCTACCTCAGGAGTATCATCAGTGGGGGAGATGCATTTATGCTATCCTGAACCTTATGCAGCCACATGAATCCTTTAGATTTGCTTTGTACGCCTTCCAGATACTCTAGACATGTACAGTATAAAGAAAATGTCACCTCATCATTACAGAGAAAATGATGAGCTCCAGCAGAAAAATAAACAGTTATGATTTTAGAAGAACATTCTGTCTTGCTGAGAAGAAAAAAAACCCAACAATTAGCAGACTAGAAAAAAGGCAGAAAAATAATTGTAAGTTCATTTCTGTTAATATCCAGCACTTTCTCGCCTGTGTTCCCTTGTATTTATTGTAGTGATTTAAGTTTGTTTCCACATAAAGAATCAAAAGTAATTTCAGAGTTCAATGATTATAAGTATTTTCAACAGGGACTTTACAGTTTTCCACTTTTAAGAGACAACAACGATAGGAGGTCTTTTATTTTCAGGATTGCTGGAGCTATCACTCATCTGCTGGTGATTTTGACATCAACTACCAAATATTTTGTTTCTTAACAAAGACAGTGACATTTTAATTGAATCTCACCCATCATCTTTCACTGCCATTTTAACTGGAACTATGTTATCAGGCTCTGACAGTGAGCATAAATGGCACATGCATGGCAAATGGGAGCATATAATTTTAGATTGGAGTTCATATGCTCTCATTTAAGTGACATTTTCAAGTGCCCTGTGTTGGCATAACAAATATTTGTTCTAAGTATTGACTTGGTTTAAGTAAAAGGTTAATTTAGTTCCAGCGGCACAGTCACTTGCACAGTTCTTCATGTCAGCTTGCAATTGAATGGGCTCAGATTATCTTCCTGAGTAACACTTTCTCCTCATTTGAAATTTATAAGAAATCACTGGGACCAGAACTGGTTCAAACCTCATTATTTGTATTAAAACTGGCTAGCTCACCACGTGCCAAAGGCTGATTTCTCAGCCCGCCTGAATTCCTTCTGTCCATGACATAAAATGGAATGTGCTGACTGTCTGCCACAATACGATCACTAAACCTAAACATCACAAGAGTGACACTGTAAACCGAGAGCTAATTAAACAACATTAATAATGCTAGCAGCACAAGTCCACAGAGCAGTAAAGGATCATCATGTTTCCCAAGGATATTTAAACCCAATCAACTTCTGCTTGTGAACGCTTTTTAGCCTTTTGTAAAAGTGTGTTTTCCATTGATAGGTATGGAGTTACCCCAGATTCAGACTGATGCAATGAGGTCAGAATCCAGCCCTTCTTTTCTGTACGTGATGTTTATTTTGATCAATATTTACAAATTCTTTGTCTTTCCTGTGAAGGATGTCCAGTTTTGTAGAACCTCCTGACATTGTTAAAAAGTTGTCTTGGGTGGAGAATTATTGGCCTGATGATGCTCTGCTGGCAAAACCCAAAGTGACCAAGTACTGTCTGATATGTGTGAAGGACAGCTACACAGATTTTCACATAGACTCTGGAGGGGCATCAGCTTGGTACCACGTGCTGAAAGTAAGGAGTTATGTTTTACTTCCCATTTAACAATTCACTTTCTAAACCAGGGATGGGGAATCTAAGGCCTGGGGGCTGGATGTGTCCCCCAACTTGCCTGAATTTGGCCCCTGAGGCTGGGGGCTCCTCCTAGCATTGGGGAACCCACCCTCATGCTCCAACCCCCCCTCCCCCCACTGTTTCCCCGCAGAGCTGGAGCACACAAAATCTAGACTGGGCCACCCAAGGCTCTGGTGTGCAAGAGGGATGTGGGGAGTGTCTTCTTCTCAGTCAGGGGCCACCTCAATGAGGTTGGTTTTTTTTGGCTTCTTACTTGTGTGTGGCCCCTAACTAATTTTGTGTGTGTGTGTGTGTGTGTCAGCAGCCCACAATCCTACAAAGCTTCCCCACCCCTGTCTTAAACCATCATGAAATACTTCTCAGCTTGCTGGCTGAGATACAGTGTAACAGGTAATAAAAATATAGTCCAGGTCCTCAATTGATGTACATTGGCCTAGCTCCATTAGTTGGTGCTGTGCCAGCGTACACCACTGACCAATGTATAAATTACCTAAATCTTCTCTTTCAGAGAACTCGAATAGAGAGTAATTAGTTAATGTTTGTGCAGCGCTTTCTAAGTAGAAATCCTCAATACATGCTAAATATTATTAGTAGTATTATATTCTGCTGTCACTCTGATACAATAGGTCTTTTCCATCTCTTCAAAGGTGGACAAAAATATCTACTAGTAATGAATTTTGTAAAAAAATGAATGTAAAAAAGTACTGAATGTAAAAAAAACTTCTTAGACTGTATGTGATTCTGTTTTCTGTCATGTCTTGCTACCAGCATTTTATCCAAACTCATGCAGCAAACCTTATTTAAATAGTGTTAAAATATGCATTCCAACAGCCATTCTGTTGCAGTTTCATTTGGTTTCTGTGTTCAGTGTTTAACGGAATTTGTTTTTCAACTCAGGGAGAAAAAATATTTTATCTCATCAAACCGGCCTCTGCAAACATTTCTCTGTATGAACGCTGGCAGTCAGCAGCAAATCACAGTGAGATGTTTTTTGCAGACCAAGTGGATAAATGTTATAAATGCACAGTTAAGCAAGGACAAACGCTTTTTATCCCATCAGGTGAGTAGTTTGCTAAAGGTGAGTTGCATAGGTGTTCCCTGGAATATTCAAAACACGCGGTGCTTTGTGCGTGCAAGCTACGCCTATTTCTAAAGTATTATTTTCTCAGGGGAAAAATGTTATTTCATGTAGTTACTCAATTGACCTCATCAGATGAAACACAGAGTCTGTGTGCCTTGCTTTTATTGCCATTTACATGCTGCACACTGTACTACAGATATTAGTGTAATGTAAACCAGAGATCCTTATTACTTGTCTGTCCTTTCAATGACGTGGAACAAATATTCTGCTCTAACCACGCCCGTCTCTCCCCTACCCCCCGTTCCTTTGCTTTCTATGCCAAAAAAGCAAAAGGCTAGGAAGGGAACAAGCATTAACAGATGCCTCAGTGCAGGAAATCTCCCTATTTTAGTCATTTGTCCGGCCTCTTTTACCGAGTATCTGTGCAAAGCACCACGTTCTACAGAGTATCGATCCTCTTTCTAGAAGTTCAACCTGTTGAGAGGTAGCATGGCCCAGTGGATGGGACACTGCGCTGGGTTTCATGAGAGATGGATTGAATTCATGGCTCTGCCTCTGACCTGCTTGTGACTTTTCCCAGCTCTGTGCCTTAGTTTCCCCTCCCACCTATGAGCAGTCAGCTCCTTGGGGCACGCATTCTCTCTGTTCTACAGTGCCTAGCACAATGGGGCGCCTGTCAAAGTTGGAGTCTCTATATGCTGCATTAACACAAATAATTAATATTAATCATGGTGCTCATGCTTTACAGGCAGTATCCAGAGTATCCCTCTTTCTTTCTCCACATGTAGTCAGAATCAATTGCACACTTGAATTTTGCTTTGCCCATAAGAAGTGGAAAGTAGGCATTTTTCTGATGAGCATATGTGAAATTGGTGGAGTAAACACTGAGCAATTTACAGGATCCACTTTGAGAGGGAGTTCAAGTGGAAGTAGATTTGTGTATGAAAATAAGTATTCATAGCCCCTTTGGGTATTTTACCCTTGATCGTTTGAAAATGGGTACCATCCTGTTGTTGCTGTTTTTCAGCGTAACAATAAAACAATTGCTCTCTGAACAATCTGTGCAGCATCTCTCTCTTTCCCCTCCCCTCCCGATCTTGCTGTAGCTGAAGTTCTCAGCAAGACTCCTGTTGGAGTTGAAGGTGATCAACACTAATTGAGCCCTGAGTTAAGTACGTGCAATTCCATTGACTCCAAGGCTACGTCTACACCCCAGAGTTATTTCGGAATAACAAAGAGCGCGTCTACACTGCAAGCCATCATTTCGAAATATTGACTAGTTGGAGGACTTCTTACTCTGACTCCCATAACCCTCATTTCACAAGGAGTAATGGAAGTCGGAGGAAGAGTGTTCTTCCTTCGACTTCCTGCTGTGTAGTCAGCGCCAAAAGCTAAAATAAGCTATTTCGATTTCAGCTACGCAATTGACATAGCTGAAGTTGCAGAGCTTAATTCGACTTTTGCCCCTGCTGTGTAGACATGCCCCAGCAGAGTAAACTTTGCTCACTCAAGGAATTGGGAATTGGGCCCATGCTCTGGACAGCCACACAGGAAATGAGAAAGATACTCCATGGACTGCAGCAGCATGCTGGTCAATTACCAGTGCTAATCGTTTCAGGCTTTATTCAAGTGCCTCTATTTCTCTCTGCTTTACAGGTTGGATTTATGCAACTCTCACACCTGTAGACTGCCTAGCATTTGCGGGACATTTTCTACATAGCCTAAGTGTTGAAATGCAGATGAGGTACTTGCCTGTGTTTTGAACTTTACCCTTATCAATTTTACCTATCGTTTGATTTCAGTTTGAGGTTCTGTATTTGGGATAATTTGGTGATTTGGGATCTGAAATGTTTATCCAGGCCTAATTTTATTTGTAAGGAACTCAGGGTATGTCTACACTACAGCGTTAATTCGAACTAACAGACGTTAGTTCGAATTAACTTTCATAGGCGCTACACTAGCGATCCGCTAGTTCGAACTTAATTCGAACTAACGGAGCGCTTAGTTCGAACTAGGAAAACCTCATTGCACGAGGACCAAGCCTAGTACGAACTTACTAGTTCGAATTAAAGGGTGTGTAGCCCCTTAATTCGAACTAGTGGGAGGCTAGCCCTCCCCAGCTTTCCCTGGTGGCCACTCTG